CAACGGATGGAAACGAATCAAGGTTGGAAGCGACCTGGGATTAAGGCGAAACCTTGGGGACAATTAACCAGTGGAACAACTTGGCACCAGGAGTTGTCGGGCGCTCCCAACACTGGAGGTTTTTACAAAGAGACTGGGCGGCAGACATTTGTAGAGGGTGCTCGAGTTAGATTAGATGACCTCTAAGTTCCCTCCCAGCTCTATTCCGAACCGAACACCATCTGCTTCCCGGCCCCAGCTGAAGCCTTGACCTGGCACAGATTGTTCTCGCTGGCTGGCCGGCTGCAACCTTCAGACGAGCCTCACACCGCACCCTCTTTCCCGGCCCCCTTGCCTGGGGTGTATAAACACCCTCTTGTCACACACTCCATCAGCTGTTTGGGCTGTTCCGCCCAGGGCTCCATTTCCGGGTAGTAACAGAACAGCCAATCAGCTGATTTCTAAGCTGGAGGGGGTGGGGGCAGTGGGGGTGTGTGGGGGGGGCTTCTTTTGTTTTTTGCCTGCAAACACTTTTCCAAAACAAGCCAATTTCTCCGGGCACTTCCAGCCTGGGGAGGGGAGAGAGGATCCACGTGGGGAAGGGGAAAGAGGACAATTCATTCCCCCCCCCCCCACTGACAAACCTGCAAGGCCCAGGTTTAAATTTCCCAAACCTTTCCAAAATTAAAAAAAAAAAGGGGGGGGGGTGAAGAAACTTACAAAACTTTTTTTTAAAAAAAAAAATTGCATGCATCCACTTCCGACCTCTGTATTAAGGCCCCCCGGGAAAGGAACAGGGAAAGCGCCTAGTTTTGACCCGACTTAACAAAGAGGGGGAGCAGGTACACACACACGTTACACACACAGACACCCCAGAAAAAGAAGCAGCTATGCAAAATCACACTCAAAAACTTCTTTTCAGAGGGGTTTGCACAACTGCCGCTGGGGAGAAAGCATCCCCCACCCCAAGAAAACATACACAAGCAGCCACGGGTGACTCAGAGCAACTCAGAGCCTTTGCAATTACCCAAATGAGGTTGGCTTGTTTTTTTTCCTTTTAAACACAGGAGGAGGAGAAGTTGTTTTGCCCCCCCTGTGAATGGAGGAGGGAGAGGCCGGTTAACCAACCTCAAGAGCTCCTGGCTTGCAAGGAAGGGGGTTGTACCCAAGGCCTTGGCCCGGCCAGAGGCCAAAATAAGGAAGGCCGGGAAGAGGAGGATGAAAAAAAATAAAATAAAACAAAACCCAGCCCAAACTAGCCAAGAGAGACACACAGCTAGCTCCCAAAGGCTGGGCTGGCAAAGGCCACGTTGGGTTATTTTCTCTACCCACATCCCGTCCTCGTCGTCGTTGCAAAGTCAAAAGACTGGCTTGCCAGCCCGAAATTCAAGATTACAGGGCGAAAGAGGCTGTACTTTCAAAAGCAGGAACGGCAGAAGGAAACAAAATGACAAAAAGGAGGTAGAGCTCGTGTAACACCCAGGAGCAACAAGGCGACTGGCGTCCCAGAGTGGCAAGGTATTATCTAAGAAATTAAGCCCATTTAAGGAAAAGAGCCTTCTTTGGAAGGAAGCCCGAATCAAACTCCACGGCACCTTCCTGGTTAAACGTGGTTTAGATTCAGGCTGGGTTGCGGTAGCCAAGGCCTGCGCAAACCAAACCTTTTTTTTTTTAACTATAAAGAGAGAGAAAAGTGAGCCAGGCTAACCACAGACAACAAAAGAGATCTATTTTGTCATTCCATACATAGGCACAAAAACTTGCAGACCCAGGAGAAATGGGCCTAGCTCACTTAAAATACCAAGAATTATAATCAGAGGCCTGGCCGGAGAGCTTTTTTCCAAAGAATCTCTATGGTTCTTTTGTTGAGCAGAAAAAGACCAGCAGCTTAATCGTCCAACGGGAGAGAATGCCAGGCAATTTTCCTCCCCCCCTTTGCCCCCCCAAAAAATCCACCATCAAATTAAACAGCAACTACACCACCAAAATATCTGCCACACGGAATCTCACATCCACGTATTTCACAGTTCCTATTCTTTGTCTCCATATACATATATTATATAATATATAAATATACATAATACATATATATATTTGCAAAGCCCACAGTGATCTCATAACATCACAAGCCACAAAGTGAAGCGGGGGGGGGGAAGAGAGGGAATTGGTAGACGGCGGCACCAGTGGGGGTTCATCTCCCCAGAATCTGTTCAAAAATGTAGATATAATGAGAATTTTTGTCAACGAACAGCTGGAGTTCTAAGCCTTCTCCCCAACCCGCAGAAATTAACCATCCAATGCAATTTGTTATTGGAGGGAGGACATTCATATGCAATTCCCGGATAAAAATAGCTTTGATTCCATTGCAATCACAAGCCACTTCCTATTTATTAAAAACAACATTTATTTTTTTTAAAGAAAGGAAGATCTAGGTGCATTATCAAAGAACAGGTTTTGTTGTTTTTGTGCTGTTGGGTTTTTTTCCCCCACCTCCCGAACAAAACATAAGAGAAAGCTAAAACATCACGCGCGGCCATAAAAAAAATAACAATTTGACCCCGGCAAACCCCAATCTAAATAAGTTTGTTTTATCTCTCCCAACTAAAGGCTATTTGTAAACCCCCAGCCCCCCCTCTTTACATACCTAATTCCTTCACAAATTAAATTCTCCAGGGAGAGGTTAACACATTCAATAAACATCTGCGAAGTGCATTTCTGGCTGATTCTCCCGTCAATTGCAACCAATCTGTCTTTCCCTTCCCACCACCTGATAAACAGGATGAGTAACACAACAATTCTACAAACCAACATAATAATTCAGCAGCTTTCTCCCCCCCCCGCTCCTTGACCCCCCCACCCACCCACCCAAGCCCACCATATCCAAAGGCACCACCGTCAAATCTTATTAGGCCAAGAACAAAACAGGGGAAAAATAAATAAATCCAGATTCTTTAGAAAGAAATCTACAGCGAAGCGTTACATAAACACACACACACACAAAAACCAGCAGCAGGACGAAGGAAGGTAGAGGGGCTCCGAGTTTCAGCATCATTTTTTTTTCCAAGCCTGGTTTAACCACGGTTATTTCAGGCCCACTAACCAGGTTTAATTTCCAACATCACCCCTCCTCTTAAATTTGGCTGCTTCCTGAACAGCAGCCTCAAACTAAATTAAGGAACTAGTAACACACCAACAGACAAGGATCATCCAATATTAACTGTCAACAACCTCCCCCCCCCCCCAAAAAAAAACCCTGGTTGTCCCCAACTCATTCTGGCTTGTAGCCACCCTTCCCCAATCAGGCTATATATGCAAGCTAGCGGTTGAGGGTGGAAGCTGCTGGAGGGAGCTGTGTATTATTATATTATTATTAATTTTATTATTGTTATTAAATGGATGGTTATACTATCCCACCCCCCGCCAAAAAAAATTGAAGAGGCATTGAAAAACTGGTGAATTAGACCAGCTTTCTTGCTTTTCTCCCTCCATCCCGGCTTGTTTAATCTGAGATAAATGCCTCCACCACCAGAGAGGATAGAGAGGACAATAAAATGTCCCCCACCTCCCTACATACACACACACACCAGCCCCAAAGAGACTGTGCAATAAAGAGAATTGTGATTTTTCTCCCTCTCCCCACAGTGGTTTCTATAGGGAGAAACTGGGGGCTGGGGGGGGGGGGGGGGGGGGGCAGCAGCAGCAGCTGGCTGGGGAAGGTGAGGATAGGTGGGGTTCCATTATTTGCTCATTTGTGAGGAGGGGGAGTTTGACACCTCAGCAATTTCCAGGGAAATGGTGGTTGGGGAGAAGGAAAGGAGAAATAAATATTATTATTTTTTTGGTAATAAAAAGGTCTCTCTTTGCAGGCCAAGTTAAGAAGGGGTGTTGTTGACACCGAGGGAAAGAGGAGGAGGGAAAATGTCTCCTGTTCGGGGCTGGGGAGGGGGAAGGTAGGCCCACCCCCTCAAAGGGGGGGAAATAGGAAGGAGCCCACCTTTTGGCGGGGGGGGGGGGGGGTTAATTTGGGGAGGGGGCTTTCCACCATAGGGCCTCTTTTGAGGCCTGGTGGGTTTACCCGACAGATATTTATCCCTGAAGGAATTTGGTGTGTTTGTGTGTCCATTTTCTCTCTCTCTCTAAGGTGTTTACATATATATGTATATATATGTATGTGTGTGTGTGTGTGTGTGTGTGTGTGTGTGTGTGTGTGTGTGTATTTATTTATTTTTTCTTGGCTACCTTAACACCTCTTTAAAAAAACAAAGGCCAAAGATGCCCCCCCCCTCCAGCTCTCTTGCTTCCTCCTTCTTTGCAAACCTATTTGTAAACCCCCAGCCCCCCCAATTTGGGGCTGGTTCTTCTCCCCCTTTTGGGGCAAGGGGCAAAATCAGGAGTTTGGGATTATTGGGGAGGGGGTGGGGAAGAGGAAACAGGGCCTGTTCTCCAGTTTGGGGGGGGTCCCTGTTCCCCAAGGGGGGTGTCCATTCATCCCCAGCAGCTGGAGCCCCTCCCCCAAAGTAAGGTCTCCTGGAGCCCCCTCCCTCTCCTTGCTTCTGCAAGGGGAGCCCCCCCCCTCTCTCAGGCATTCTCCAGGGAGGGGACTCCCCAGTTTGTTTCCTCCCCCCCCCAACTCGACTCAAAGGCGAGAAAGGGGGGGGTCAAAGGAGTACCCCCTCCTCCTCCTCCCCCCCCACACACAACAGCCCCCCCCCTCCCCAACTCTCTCTCTCCAGGAAAGGATACAGCTTGACCACGTCGGTGTCCATCCGCCTCTTGCCCGGGCTGGGGGAGGACATGGTGCCCCCCCGGCCGGCGGCCCCTCCCGGGCGGAGTCTCGAGCGAGGCCTGTCAGGATCCCTCGGCGCGCGGGGACTTGTGGGGGGGGGAGAGAGAGAGAGAGAGAGTCGCTTCGTCGGGGAGGGGGCCCGCGGTGCGCCTGCGCGGAGGCCTCCCTCGCGGCCCCTCCCTTCGCGAGCCGGCTCTTCCTGCCCCGCGGTTGCCCCCCCCCTCTCCCCTCCGCTGCTGCCGCCGCTGGCTTCTCCTTCTTCTTCTTCCTCTCCTTCTTCCTCCTCCTCCTCCTGCGCCCGCCCGCACCCGAATCGCCGCTTCTGCCTTCTCTCTCGGCCGCTCGCTCGGCTCTGCCAAAGACCTCTCGCTGGGCTCCTGACGTCACCCACAGTGACCTCATCGCCCGGGGCTCGCCTCATTGGGCGGAGGGGAGCCACGCCCTCCGCGGGGAGGAGTAGGAGGAGGCTTCCTCCCGAGAGGCATGCCGGGAGAGGTAGTTTTCTCCGTCGCTGCTCAGGCTTCGGACCTCTTGCCAGGCCTCAGGCATGGGTTCGAATCCATGGGGGTCCTCGTCTTACGACCACGGCGGAGGCCATCCTTTCCGTGGGTCCACCAGACCGTTAGTTCGGGGAGCTCTGCCCCATGCTACAACCTTTCTTGCCACGGTTGTTAAGGGAATGGCTTCAGTCGTTAAGTGAATCATTAGGGTCCTTAAGGGAATCGGGGCTTCCCAATTGGACTTTGCTTGCCGGAAGGTCGCAAAAGGGGACTGCGTGACCTTGGGACACCAGCAACCATCATAAATAAGAGTCAGTTGCCAAGAGTCTGAATTTTGCTCACTCACAGGCAGATATGGCAATGGTTGTAAGTGTGAAAAACAGCCATTGGTCACTTTTTCCAGTGCCGTGATAACTTCGAACGGTCACTAAATGAACTGTTGTAAATCGAGGATTACCTGTACACACCTTGGCCTCTTTTTTTTTGAGGCAAATCTTTAATTTCTTTTCCTGCTCCAACCACGGATTGGGTTTGTACTTATCCCTCATGCATGAGTTAACGACCAGCTGGTTCCTCTTAGCATGTGCAGAGTGCTCAGCACCTGCGAGAGAGGGAAGTCCATCAAAGTTGGCTCTGGGATTGCCCGGCCCAGGCAGCTTCGCCGTGACTTTGAAAACTTTGATGTTTTTGCAGGCAGGTGAGAGCGCCTCTGAGCGTACGAAGAGTGCCAGCCTATTTTCCCAGCCACGGAAAACCCTCTTCCAATGTGGAATAAGAGAATGAGAATGAGAATGAGAATAGAATAGAATAGAATAGAATAGAATAGAGCAAAATAAAATAGAAATAAAACTAGAATAGAAATAAAACTAGAATAGAATAGAATATTGAGAATAGAATAGAAAATGAATTGAATGGAGTGGAATAGGGTGGAGTAGATAGAGTAGAGCAGAAATATGAATCGGTTGCCTAGAGGCTGAATTTTGATCACGTGACCAGCAAAGGTCATAACTCTGAAAAATGGTCATAAGTCGTTTTTTTTTCAGTGCCATTGTGATTGTGGTCACTAAACGTGGCATGTTGTATGTCGAGGACTGCCTGTACAGTACTGGAAGTTGTCAAAGTGACTCGCGGTGAACTATCAAAGACAAAATATAAGCAGGAAATGAATGCAGTATTAAAAAATTTAAATAATTCGCAAAGCACGGGGAGAAGGAAATAAAATAAAATTAAAATAATTCCTTGGGCACCTCTGCAGGCATGAAGTCAAGAAATCTCCAATAGGTGCTGGAAAGATCTGGCTAAACCTCTTTTAGGAATGGAGACGTCTAGCAAGGGGTGTGTGAAGGCAACCTGGTTTAAACAAAGGGATGTCTCAGTAAAACCACAACAGCAACACCTGCCTGAGTCTTAAATGTTTGCAAATGCCCTACGAACAAGGCTTATTTGTCAGCTGCTGTAGGGCAAGGCTGCTGTAGCCCGGATGTAGGTTTAAAGTGGAAAAATAAATACAGGTTTGTTATCTCACTGGGCCATAAGCTGAACATCTGCAATACTCCCTCGCAGGTTTTCTTCACAGCGGGGCCTCCAAGCTTCTTGCAAAAAGTGATAATTGGAAGCCGAGCCTCTCTCGGATCGGTCTTAAAGAAAGCAAACTAACAAACCGGAATGAACCTGGTTTGTCAATCACCACATTGCGGAAGCCAGGATTCCTCTCTGAACGCGGCCCGTGGATGAGAATGGATTAATAAAGTGGAAAATGGGTGTCAATGTGAATCAATTTGCAGCTGTGCAAGATGCTTTAAACCAGAAAGGGGAGGCTTATCCTGGCTTACCACAAATGTTGGTTTAATGTTTGCATTCCAGCAGGAATCCACGGGCCATTCGGACAAGAATATCTGTATTGTACCCTTGATATTGTTTTGTTCGTGTTTGCAATCTTTACCTACAAGCAGTTTTTTTCTCAAACTCAACCACTGTGTGATGCGTGGACTTCAATTCCCAGAAACCCCTGGGCTGCTGTACTACAATCCTGCGGCAATGTCAGACTCCACTTCCCAGAATTCCTTGTCCCAGGCTTGTTAGAAATGGTGGTAGTCTCAGGCCATGTTTCTGGGAAGACACCAACTTGTCAACAGGTAGTTCTCAAATTACAATGATACACTTAGTGACCAAAGTTAACAAAGTACCAGAAATAAAAGTGACTTTATGAGCGGTCCTCCAACTTACAACCATTCGCAGCCTCTTCACAGCTTCGTGATCAAAATTTGGGCGCTTGGCAACCAGCATATACAATATAGAAATAGAAATAGAAATAGAAATAGAAATAGAAATAGAAATAGAATAGAATAGAATAGAATAGAATAGAATAGAATAGAATAGAATAGAATAGAATAGAATTAGAATAGAGAATAGAATAGAGATTGAATAGAGAATAGAATAGAGAATAGAATAGAATAGAGAATAGAATAAAATATAGAATAGATTAGATTAGAATAGAGAATAGGAATAAGGAAAGAATAGAATAAAGTAGAGTAGAGTAGAGTAGAGTAGAGTAGAATAGAATAGAATAGAATAGAATAGAATAACAGAGTTGGAAGGGGACTTTGGAGGTCTTCTAGTCCAACTCCCTGTCTAGGCAGGAAATCCTACACCTCTTCAGACAAATGGCTATCCAACATCTTTTTAAAAACTTCCAGTGTTGGAACATTTACCATTTCTGGAGGAAAGTAGTTCCACTGGTTATTTGGTATTATACGGTATATTATATATTATATTAGGTATTAATATATGATGGTTGCAACATCCTGGGGTCATATGACACCCACCATTTGAGACCTCCTCTAGGCGGCTTCTGTCCCTAATTGTGGTCATAAGTTGAGGACTACTTGTACAGGTAGCCCTCAACTTACGGCCAGTATTGAGCCCAGGATTTTCTGTTGCTAAGTGAGACAGCGAAGTGGGTTTTGCCCCATTTTGTAACTTGTCAGAGTTCTTAAGTGGATCCCTGCAGTTGTTAAGTTAGTCACACGGTCGTTAAGTGAATCTGCCTTCCCTCCTTGACTTTGCTTGGCAGGAGGTCACAAAAGGAGACTCTGCAACCATCATAACTGTGAGTCAGTTGCCAGGCGTCATTTATTTAACGCCTGTTCATTTATTTCATAGTTGTCCTCAACTTACGACCACAAGGGAGCTCAAAGCGAGAGATTTGTCAAGCGACTTTTGCCCCATTTTACGACGATCCGCCTTTGTGAAGTGAATCACCGGCGTCCTTAAACGAGTCCCACAGTCGTTCAGTGTATCCGGCTTCCCGCATTGACTTTACTTGTCAGAAGGTCACAAAAGGTGACACACCCCGGGACACAACGACCATGATAAATACAAATCCGTCGCTAAGCATCCGAGTTTTGATCCCGTGATCAGGGAGAACCTGCAAGGGTTGCAAAGGGTTCGCACCACTTTGGCTGAACCGGTTGTTAAATTGCTGGCTGGCCCCTCCTCTCCCCTTCCATGTCTCCCCATGCAACCCATTTTTGATCCCAGGGGAGTGCAGGGTGGCCTGCTAGGCCCAAAATGGGGCATGGGGGGTGAGGCGTGGCCCTCACGTGGCCCATTTTTGCTCCCAGGGGGCTGCA